GTACTTCCCATCTCAAACTCGCTTGAGCCCGTAGTTCTTCAACAGAAAGGGAGCAGAGGACTGCTCCCTGTCACTGCAAGTGACTTGTGTGTACAGGTTACTTGCCTCAAAGTAGAGCTTTTTCTTATGCTCAGTTTTTGTTGTGTTGTTCTTGTGCTATGCATGCATGGACTTATGTTTTCTGGCTTCTTTCACTTGAATGAGATTATAGTGTTTAATGAGATGGTAGTTGTTGCTTTAGATTCCTTCTTACAACCTAGAGAAACATCAGGTGCAATTTCTGGGTTGTTACAGGTGGGGCTTTTCTGACTTCATAGTATGTAATTGTGCAACCCTAATGTTACTCCTCCTGTGGTGAGTTGACTTTCCTGAATATGGTATCACTAATTACTTTTTCTCCTGATGAGTTTTCTCTTCAGAAACTGAAGAGACAAAATCTGTGCTTTGTCTTGATTTTTCTTCTGGCTTTGTTCTGCTGCAGGGATGAGTCCAGTCATGATTGTTTCTCTGCCAGCTGGGCCCCGTGTATCCTGAGGTAGCAGAGGTTTTTGGCTGTGAACATTTAGTATGTAACACTTGGTGCTGCCCCTGCTGAGACTCACAAGTTGCATGAGGAGAGTTCAGACTCTTCCTCTGGGAGTGTTTTCTGAAGGTCCTGTCTTGAGCCAAGAGTTGTGTCCATGCTGGCTTTCAGCCTCAGAGTAGGGATGCAGGTGTGGCTCTGGCAGAAAGCATTCAAGGCTGCCTGTGGCACTGTAGCTTTTGAGGAGCAGGACCTGGTGCTCTTCTTGGTGTTTATTATTGTCTTGAGGTAGGAACCTGAATAAGGTCATTCCTTGTTGAACCACTGTGTGTCAGAGCATGAACTGAGGAGAATGCTAAAAGGTGGATGAGCACCAGCTTTGTGGTAGCATGGTCTGGGTAAACTGTGAAAATGGTGCCACAGAATAGAGCAGGGCAGGAAGTGGCCAAGTGAAAGTGGAGTGCTGCTTATATCAGGTCAAGAAAAGAAAAAACATATTCCTGCATAATTTTACACAAATTCTATTCACTTAAGAATTCGGATGTTTAGACCTCCATGAGGGTAAAAGCATGTCAAGTACTTCAGAAAGTTTTTGGAAATGAGTGGCATGCTGATGTACCTGTGTGCAACAGGTACAGAAAGGATACTGGACAACTCTACGCTTAAAGCAACAACGGAAGAACCTTGTAGTAAAATCAAATTCCTTGCTGAGTGGCTTCATTTCTTACTATGGTTTTCCTGTGGAGTGGATTCAGGGAGTGGGAGTTCCTGTGTTAATAGTTACTGATGGTGTTGGTGACAGACACGGCCCTGCACAGGGTGGTGGGTACCTTGAGGGTGTGTAGCACACACAGCAGTAGCAGGAAACTTGACTAATCTATAGAGTAGCACAACTAGATACAGTACATGCCATCTTTGAACCTTTGTAATTCACTGTGAGCTAGTCTGGAGTAGGCTTGAGACCTTTCCCAGCAGTTGTAAATCAAATGTGTATATTTTGGAGCTACAGTGTTTATTCATGTGTAAGTAACAGTTCTGCAGACTAATTCCAGCAATGCACTATATAATAAATCAAGAGGTGTTTGATTATGCCCTCTCTGACTTCAAGCTACCAAGGTCTTAGTGTCCTCAACACAGGTGATTGAGCTGGTTTTCAGCTTATGGGATCAGTAGTGAACCTGTTGACTTCCTAAAGGATGGGCAAAATAACCAGTCATGCAGCTGCTGTGAGATTTGGGACTGATAATCTCTGTGTTGTGTGGCTCTCAAGGACAGAGGATTTATTTGCCAAACATAGTGCAGGCTGCACCTGTGTTGCATCATCACATGCAGCTAAATATTAAGTGCTACTGGTTGAGTCCATTTTAAGTGGGGAGATAGTGAAGTACCTGTTTCCACACTGCCTGTTTCAGTGCTGAAAAGCTTGACGTGTCAGTTTTTCACAAACACATTTTGTAGTAATGCTTACGTGTGTACTTCCAGGGAAGGATGTTAATGTTGCTCAGGTGTTTTCTATGAACTTGCCACCTTCATTCCAAATTGTTTTCAGCTTTGGTATTTGATTCAATCCCTTTCCTATTGAATCAGTATTGGCTTTTGAACACTTGTCTTGGATGAACCAATGTCCCTGGATGAAGGGCATTTAATCCAGAGCAAGGCATGAAAATAAAGTGTCTCTTTGGTAATAAGAGGGTTTTTTACTTTTGCTGAATAGAAAACTGAAAGTGCTGTGAAGATGGTCTGTATGGCCATGGTACTGTCGAGGGAGAAAGGAAGATTTAGTCTTTGTGGTTCAATCACTTTACAAATCTTCCTTTTAGAAATTTGAGTGAAAACACCAAGTTAATCTCTAGTGTGTGCTCCGAGATCTACCTTTTAAAGTGCTGCATCATTCTCTCTACAATGTCACATTGAGACCCAGCAGAAAAGTTGTGTAATTCCTAATGAGAGCTTTGTGCTGCTATTGCCGTGGGTTGAAAGCTTCCTGTCTGCCTTTCACAGAGAAATCACAACAGGTCATCCTCACCCACGGTGCTGGCTTCAGCATCACTGCAACACCACTATTTATGTCCTAGAAGATGTCAGGTGAAGGCCTTTCTTGTCCTAATGAGTCATTAACACAGTTATTTTTTACTCAGGAATTTACCTAACAGAAGCATGAAATTACTAACTTCCTTTTTTTCCACTTTCTTTGATGCGCCTGCAAAAGGGTTTTGATAGTATGAAAAGGTGGGAGAAAATGCAATGGTGCTTCTCAGGATGCTTCCTCTAATGTAGTTCTACATTTCTTCTCATAGCAGTTCAGTTTTGTCTCACAGATCTTATGCAAAGTATCTTTCTCCTAAGTGTTCCTAATCTTGATATCCCAACTCCCCATTTTATCAGATGTCAGCCTATCTTGGAGAGAAGGCTCCTTACAGATTTTTTGCAGAGGCCTAAAGGTACACAAGTTGTTGTCAGGATCATATAGCGAGTATATGGCAATGGTATGAAAAACAGAGCCTGAATCCCAAGATTTTTTTATTGTGGTGCTTTAGCTATAAGATCATCTTCCCTGCTTTGGAGAGAAGGTTGAGAGAAAGTTCTTCATTTCCCCATAACTCTTGCAGATGGGTGTTGTTCTGCTTCAGTAGCTAGGATTTATTTCTTCACTTAGTTAAGGGCCCTCTGAAGACCAGGTTCACTGGTTTTTTCACTTTGTCCTTAACAGAAAGCACCTTTCTGAATGGACTGTGCTCGCCCTGTGCAAAGCTTAATTTGTCTTCTTTCCTGCCCACATGTCAGCCTGCCAGGATGGCTCTTAGGAGCCATGCAGCTCTGTATTGCACGTGGCCTCATCATTGCAGAAATAAGATTGTGCTGTCCAAAACCACGATGGATTCTTGAAGGTTGTCATAAAGCATTGCTGCAGCCTTGCCTGGGAGACAGTGTTATTCCAGAGCACTGTTAGTTAGGAGAGGCAATCAGTGTGTCTTTAACTGAATGGTGCCAATGGGAATGGCATGTTAGGCAGGGCAGCTGCAAGCTCGGCCTGAAACACGACCACCCTTGAAACCCTATCTCTACCCCACTGACCGGTGCAGGCTGACTTCACACTGCGATGGGAGACCACGTGGGTTGCGTCAGTGCCTGAAATGTAATTGCATCCTGGCAGTGGGGCAGATCCTGCCTGTGTGACTGATAATGTGTTACTTGAAGCAGGGGAGGAATTGCATTTATGCATGTTTTGTGTAGCTGGCCATGGAGGATTGACCTCAAAGGCTCTTGTGCCTCTGTCCTGGGTTACCTGAGTGGGAAGTGTTGGCTGTCCTCATTGGGCTAAATGAAGGTCTAGGGCAGGTTCTAAGTAGCTATTAGAAAAATGAGAATGTGAGATGATGTTTCTCGAGGGTGCTTCCCAACAGAGCCTGTAATCCCTCAACTAGGATTTCCCCACAAAATGTGCTTCCAAGTGTTACATGCTCACAAAGCTTTTGGCAGGCTGGATAGTGTCATCTTCATGATAGATGAAACTGGGTGCCAGAGGTTTGTTTGCTCTAGTTTTATCCCTTGCATTCACAGTTCTCTGGCTGTGCAAAGCTTTTCCTTATGCCCGTTGATCTAAAACACCCCATGAGAGGAAGCTCACTGGAGTAAGGGGAGGCTGTAATGGACCTGGAGAGTATTAATTGAGAGCCAGCCTCTCTTCTTTTGCCAAGTCCCTGCCACAGTTACGAACCACAGTGGGAAAAGGGGGTGACCTTTTTCCTTTTTTGTGCTGGGTGAAAGTCGCTCTCTTGCAGGAGTGCAGAGCAGTGGAGAGCCTGATGTGTGACTGGAGCTCGCCACGATAAGCTGGTTGTTTTCCCTTCTCCTTTCCCCTCCTCGCGCTGTGCTGGGCTTATCTGGCCGCCTGAGTTATGTTAAGTAGCGGGTGCATGCTTGCTCTCTGTTCTCCTCGCTGCTTTTGCTCCTTGGATTTCAATTCCAAACATGGTTATCCATTTGGGGTCTCTCTCCGTTCCACTGCCAAGAGATACACATTCCACACTCATCACCAGCTCCCTCTGCTGCTCTCTCACGGTCGCTATTCCATTTGCTGCAGCGCGGGCGAGACAGGCAGTGCAAGGAGATCTCTGTCCCGTCTGTGAGTTTTCTAGCTAATGGCCTCGACTCTTTTTCTGACTGAGCTCTTTTGGCCTCACATTTGCCAGCTTCTTTTCTCACTGTTGTGGCTAAGAAGGGGGCCAGCCGACGCTTTGTGAGCCACAAAGAGGAGAAGCGAACGCTTTTGGAATTTTTCGGGTGCAAAAACATTCAGCAGCTCTTTTTTAGCATGTTACTTTGAAACACTGCTGTGGGACCAGACGGTGCACAAAAGGAAGAGGAGGAGGAACAGCTACCCAGCAGCTCTGCTTTCCAACCTCTGCAGCACCCTTTGTGTATGACAATTCATTTTGAGCGCAGGACGGCTGGGGAGGGTGGGGAGTGGGGCAGGATGAGCGCAAACAGCCCCTCCTGGGACCAGGCTGTTCTCCAGCCTCCGGTGTGTGATGCTTGGAAGGAGATTACAGAGGAAGCAGCCTACCAGCTGGCCAGCTGCATTGTCCTCCTGGGTTACATGGGGGGAAGTGGCATCTTTGGGTCCCTCTATATCTTTGGCCTCCTGGCCCCAGGCTACTTCTGCTACGCTCTGTGGGGCTGGCTGAGTGCTTGTGGGCTGGACATCTTCATCTGGAACATGCTGCTGGTCCTCACCTGCTTGCTTCAGCTGGCTCACCTGGCGTACCGGCTCCGCAGAAACACCATCCCAGAAGAGTTTGACCTCCTCTACAAGACCATGTACCTGCCCTTGCAGGTGCCCCTGGAAGTCTACAAAGAAATTGTGAAGTGCTGTGAGGAGCAGGTGCAGTCGCTAGTCAGAGACCAGAATTATGCAGTGGAGGGCAAGACGCCCATCGACCGCCTCTCGCTGCTGCTGTCTGGCAGGTAAAGGCTCCCCCATCTCTGAACAAAGTCTGACAGCAAACTGCTGTGGCTTTTTGTTGTATTATCACCCTCTGTAGAAACTGGGGTGAGGAATGTTTCCTTCCTCTGATAAGGATCTGAGATATGCATCAGTTTGTTGGGGAAGGGGGAAATTTGCTTTTCGGGGTGTTAGTTTTGTTTTGTTTTTCTAACTTAAGGGTATTTCAGGGAATGGTTTGCAGACTCAAGCTGTGGGCAATGAAGTGGAGCTCAGCCTTACCTGTGATACTTTTGATGAATCCTTACCCCTTTGTCTGTCATTTTGAAGTGATCTTAATTCTGATGGAAGCAGACTGGCTCTGAGAATGTGTTTCTCAAGGCAGGAGTGCAGTGTATCTGCACCTGGGGGTACCAGGCACACCTTTGTGATGTGAAGAGCTGTGTGCTGAGTGTGCTGAGGCCTCAGTTCACCTGCTCTCCCTGGCCAGCAGTGTTCAGGGAGAAGTTCCTGTTCCCAACACCCCAACACTCAGGGCTTTGACATTTTTCACTTTGAGCACCATTTCCTCAAAAGAGAGAGTATTTTCCTGCGGTGGATCCTACCTAATCAGGTGTCTTTCTTTCCCTGTGCTGTCAAGCATTTATGATACTCCTTCTTCTGGACCACCAAGGAGAACCTCAGGGACCTCTAGAGAGTGACACTGGAGATTTGATTGAATGATCAAGTATTGGCATTTGTTCACCTGAGATCTGCTGCCTTAAGCAGCATATCCACTTAACAATTTGCAAAATCCAGATGCGTACAAATAGCAATAGTGTTGGCTTCCAGTCTGCTGCCAAAAACTTGGCACTAATGTTACATAAGAATGGGAAAGGAAGATGATCTCTAAATAGTAGCAGTGCTGAGCTGCAGGAGGTGTGTCCCACAAGGATTTTCCTTTGGGAATACAAAGCATCACCTGGGGCTCCTGTTTTACTGCAGTGGCCAATCCTCTCTGGTGAGGGAGTTTGCTAAGAAGAATGGCTGACCTTCCTTTTTTTGGTGTTGATCCCTTTTCTAAGATGTGTTAAGAGCACCCTGGGTCCACCAGGATATTGAATGGCAAAGCACTGGAGGTAAATTTGGTATGTGTGTTTCCAGTAGTGCTTCACCTTACCAAACATGTCTGGTGAGCATCTGGCTCTGAGGTTTACTGAATCAGTAAATAATATTGCTGGGAAAGAGTCTGTGCTGTCTTGACCTGCACTGGATAATGTGATACTACCTCTGTGGGCATGAGAGTGCTGCAACAGACAGTAAGATGGTGATGATGGGTAGTTGTTGGGCTCTCTTTTGCAGTGAGAAGTATGCATCTTGGCTGGTAAAGGATGCTCCATGGAGGTGGGAATGCGTTTACTTTTCCTAGTACCCACTCTATTGCCTTGTGAGGTCCTTGCTGACCCTGCAGAGAATTGCTGTTATGGTGCTCTTTCTTAAACTGAGCAAGTGGGGTCTTGGAAATGCAGAATATGCCTAGATTAGGAAATGTGCCTTACAATCCATGACCCTTGCAGACAGCACTGCCAGGTGATTAGAAGCCAGAGGTGAACAGTCTTTTAACTCCTGAAGGTAAGAATTGCCTTTGTGCATCATACAGCAGGGGTACACGGTGACAGGAAAGCAAGAGGCCCCAAGTCTGGTGATGCAGAGCTATGAATAGAACTCCAGAGTGCCCTGGCATTGTCCTTGCTTCAGGCTTCTCTGTTCCCACAGCAGAGCTCAGTGCACGTTTGACCTTGACCCTGGCAGGAAATTGTAGCAAAAGTAGGCGAAAGGGATACTCAGAAGGCCAAGAGAAAGTGAGCGTTAGTGTGCAGCAAACTATGAGCTCTCAGGGTGATGTGTGAGGAACCATGGGCAGTGGGATTTTGGGGGATCCTGAATGCAGTGACTTCCCAGTACCGAGACTGGGAATGCCCTCATGCAATCCTGGAGACAGGAGGAAGGTACAAGCACCAAGAGCCACAGGATGGCTTAGAAGTACCTAGAAAGCAGCAGTCCTGTGGGCTGAGAAGTCCTGGGTTAGCATTGCACCTGTGAGGGCTGTCTTTGTAGCAAGGAACAGAACACAGATGGAGTATGGGGAAGTGGCAGCAAATCCCACAGAGAAAGAAGGGATAGCCTCATCACTAAAGCACCTGCAGCTGTCCCAAGAGGGTATGAGACATCTGTGAGACAAGTATTTCTTTCCTCCCTGGTGGGACACACTGTTTGAGCTATCAGATTTATGTGACATCTGTTTTGTGGCCTAAGCCTGTCTGCCTCACCTGTCCTCTGCAGGATCCGAGTGTGCCAGGACGGACAATTCCTTCACTACGTCTTTCCATACCAGTTCCTGGACTCTCCAGAATGGGAGTCACTGCGACCTTCTGAGGAAGGAACTTTCCAGGTAACTACAGCTCAGCTTCACTCCTTGATGCTTTGCTGCACATCTGAGAAGGTGGTAGAGAGGCCCCATTGTGCCATTCAAAGCTGACCAGGAATACTTTCCTCCCCTTCCTGGTGGTTTAGCCAGCACAGGATTGTGATTTAACCTTTTTTCCTACCTTGTTCTGAAGACCTCAGGGCATGCTCCTACTGTCTGCTGATAGGAAGGAGGGTGGAGCATGGTGCTCCTTCCTGTTTATCAGGGAATGGAGGTGTCAGACTGCCAGCTCTCTTCCCTAACAGCGTTCTCCAGTACCTGTACCGATGCATTTGCCCTGCATGCTGCTAGCAGGGGGCATTGTCCTAGCATCAGGATGGCAGCCGCGACAATGTGCAGCAGTGATGTAAATCCACAAACATCCTGTCCCTCACAGAAGTTTCTGATGGTCATGTGTTTTGGGTGGAGAAGCAGAGAGGATGATTCACACCCGAATATGGTTCTTTCTGAGCAGAAAGATCCCCTGCTGAGAGGCCAGACCAATTCTCATTTGCAGTAACGGAAAGGATTTTGGCCTTGCTGTCAACACCCCACAGTGTTTCTTTGGCTTTCCTTCTGGAAAAGATTACTTAAGCCTACATCTCCGTGTCTTTAATGCACATCTCAGGATGGCCTGATACCTGTCAGAATGTCAATCCTCATTATGTCAATTAGGGCATATGAGGAGGGATCTTGCTAATCCCTTGGGAGCATGGGAGGGTCATGAGGGAATGATGCTTTCTCATGAGGGTAGGTAGCCCCAAGCAAACTTGGTTAAACCAGGGCAGCTCTCCAAATCTGTTTTCCTAGGGTCTGAATTTGGCTCACGTGTGAAAGGTTCATGGTGATTGCTCCTGAAAACAGTGCCATCACCAGTGATTATGCTTGTAGGAGATAGCTGGCAATGTGACTGTGGCACAGGGCTACAGATAGTGAGCAGAAATAGGGATGTTGGAGCAAGATAATGAAGTAGAAAAGGCAACAACAGCATGGCTGTGCTAGGGCTGGTGTATCTCATGTTTTGCACAGGTCTTCAATCTGGCAGCAGACTGCTGCTAGCTCCTGGGCTGTATTTGCCCAAGAATCCAGCAGAGAGAGTGATGGGCTACGGGCAGGGAAATGGCAGACTGCAATGGCTGACTGCAGGCATGCAACCTGCAAAGACATCCACAGCATTTTCTGAGCTGATTTCTGTGGAGATGAATGTTCCCAGACCTCCTGAGGCTCTTCACCTGTGGTGCATTGGACAGCCTGGGAGCAGGCTGGGGCTAGGCTGCACCAGCCCTGCCAGCACCACACTCTGGCACATCTCCTGCTCTGCAGGACAGGGCTGGCCAGTGAGGTCAGCCGTGCCTGGCATCAGGATGGGGAGGTAGAGCCCTAGGTAGGGAAGGCCATATGCTGGAAATGCCTAAACCCCAGTGTGCTTACAGAGGAGCAGAAGAAGTAGCTGCTGTGTGAGACCAGTAGTCACCAGGTGTCACTTGACCAGTCCATGTACCTGGAAGGACCTTACTCTTGGTGGCCATGCTAATCATAGTGATGTGCTGCTTTTGGCAGCTGTTTAACACACTAGTCCCTCTCACCCAAGTAGCTAATAAAACTCTGTAACTTCTCTCAACCTTGTCTTAGCAACACAATAATTTGGTTTAAAAAGTGCATGTTGGACTCTGGGTCTTTGCTGGAGGAAGGTGTGGAAGGTTTTTCTTGCCTGAAGTTTTTCTTGCCCCATTGCTCTCTGGATTGAACAAATTCAATTCTGAGCCCACTGAAAAATGGCAGAAGCATGACTTAGACTACGAGAATAGCTGCCTTCCTTGAGCTTCTGCTTTGGCTGATTGCTTCCCGCAGGACTGTTGGGTCCCAGTGCCTGAAGGAGTTTGGTTTCAGGGCTGGCACTTTCCCCCAGAAGGCTGAATTACAGGCTCTTGCTGATGCCAGAGCACTTGTGTCAGGGGGGACTCAGGGTGAAATCTGTCTTGCTGTCCTGGTTGGGTGGCAGGTTTTCTTATTGCATCTCAATCCCTCACAAGAAGGGATCACTTTTGATCACTGCACCAGAGGTTGGTTAGGAAAATGAGATTCCAGTCATTTCAATTTCTGTGTGACCCTTCTTTTTGCTTTCCTGGCCTGGGAAAATTCTCAGGTTTTATCTCCTATATTTCTTTCATCAGACAGCTGTTTGCAGGGCAATGGCATCAAATATCAAACCCAAGGACACACACACGCAGCCAAGCCATGTTCAGCTTCCCAGTGGCCCTCTGCCATGGCGGCTGACCAAGGAGACCCCTGGGCACAGAGTGAAAGGGAGCCCCCGGGATATTTTGGTTCCGGCACTTGTTCACATGCCAGTGTCTCCATTACACTCGGATGTTCTTCTTTGGCCCAGGGCAGCTTGACCCTTCCTGCATTTCTTGTCTTTATTATTATTATTTGTTATTATACACACTTACATACTATATAATGTTTTTGACTGAAATTGTTCTTGTCCTACACTTAGGGGGAAAAAGGTCTCTCTTTACACTGGCAAAACCAGAAGGAAAATGAAATGTTCTCTAAAATCAATCCGATAAATCCTTGGGAGTTTTATACATATACATGAACACAATAAAACCTTTTATTTCCTCTCTCACTGAGCTGTGCTGCAATGTCCTTCAGGGCCATTCAGCCCTACAGAGTCTAGCAGAACTGCTGAGACAGGATGTCCCTCAGGCACAGGATGATCAGGGAAGCCTTTCAGGTGGTCCTTCCAACACTCAGGGCCTTCTTGGATCAGGGCCTGGGGGGCTCTGCAATCCAGCAGCACATTGGGTCAGCAGCCTCCCCCAGGGCTCCTTGCTGGCAACTCAGGCTGGTTGGGCAGGCAAAAATAGCCTCCTCTGTAGCATTTCTGAGGGATAGGGATGTCTGTGCTGCCCTGTTCATTTCAGCTCCATCCCTCAGACGTAGATAGGGAGCATCATCTGAAAGCAAGAGGGTGAATCATAGCCATCCATGTGGCTGGGTTAAATGAGGATGTGCTACTAATTGCATAGGAAAAAGGGGTCTTTGCCTTCTTAGGAGAGGAAACAGCATCAGGTAAGGATTTATCCAGTCATTCAACCAGGACAATCTGGCTCTCCAGCCCCACCATTTCCAAGGAAAGTAGGATTCGAAGGGTCTGAGGGCATTCCCTGGAGTGAAGCCCATGGCTCCAAGGTGGGTGACCCCGCCCAGGCACTGGGATTTACTCCACTCACTCCCTGCCCCACAGGTGACGCTGACAGCCGAGACCGACTGCAGCTACATCACCTGGCCGAGGAAGAAGCTGTATCTCCTCCTGAGGAAGGACCGCTACATCGCCCGCCTCTTCTCCTCCCATCTGGGCTATGACATCTCGGAGAAGCTCTACTCCCTCAACGAGAAGCTCTTCGCCAAGTTTGGCCTTCGCTTCGACATCCGCCTGCCCAGCCTCTACCACGTCCTTGGGCCGGCCTCCTCGGAGGGGGAGTCGGAGGACTGTGAGGAGCTGCTGCCGGGCCCTGGCCAGGCCGGCGTCTCTGAGGCGCCGCCGCAGCCGCCGCCGCCACCGCCGGCCCCGCGCCCGCGGGCGTCCCGGCCCGACAGTGATCTGCTGGGTGAGGACTCCACCAGTCTTGTCTTGGAAGATTTTGCTGAGTTGCCGGGGTCTTTTATGGACTATGTGAGCGAAGGGGAGTATATGAAGTGAGGGCACTCCTGGCACGGGCACACCTCACCCTGTGTGGGACCCTCGCGTAAGTACCCACTTGCAGAGCAAGTCTTTCCCGTGCTGCATCTGCCTGGACAGAGCGCTGGACCCCCTTTGCCGTGGGTTTGCACCTCTGCGGTGTTTTTTGGCCCGCTGCCCCAAGGAATGCCAGAAGGTGGGCTCAAGCTATGTGCTTTTCCTAAGGAAAAGCAGCAGGGCAGAAGCTTGACTCCGGGCACCAGCTGTGCTGTGGGGTAGAAGGGTCAGTAACCTGGCCATAGAAAGCTCTTCCCTGTCCAGTTCTCTCCCCATCCCTGAAGAGAGGCAGAAACACTGAAATGGTGTCCAGGCTTATACCAGTGGTCACAGAGACAATGAGGTAGAGCTATGCCAGGAGATAGTCCAGTAAATACTGAGCTGAGCAAGAGCTCTGCAGGTGAGAAAGCCCACATCCCAGGTGATGCCAACAGGACTAGAAACAGCTCCAGGGTTTATAGCAGATTGGTAGCAAGGAATTGCTATAACCCTGCAAGTATTCAGTCCGGGCAAGGGGACAAAGCTCAGAGTCCTTCCTCTCCCTGCCCACCACAGTTCATCCCAGCATTAGATCTGTCCTCCTTGTTTCTGCTGAGATTCTGATCTCTGCCAGATCAGGAAGATGTTGAAAAGTCTGCCCTGGGTGGGATAGGTCTTTCCTCCAGTCACCCTAGGTGGACTGACAGGCTAAGCATTGTTTTAAGATGCCCCAAACTCTGCTTTGCAGTGAGTGGGAATGAGATACTCTCTTCCAAAATACCAGCTCCTTACTCTACAAGGGAAAAACGTTCTTGTGCCTGGTGGCTGTTGGAGCAGAACAACAATGCAGGCAAACAGAAATAGATGGGAGAGTGGCTTGTGCTTGAAATTCAAATCCAAGTGGCCAAGAGAGAAATTCCAGCCTGAGCTACTTTTAGCCAGCCACTGCATGCCAGCTGCTACACACCAGCTGCAGACCCCAAAATGTGCATTCCTGCTGCCGCCCACAGTAATCCAGCTGCCAGGCCCCAAGCTTGGGACTGGGATTTCTGTCCTAGAAGTGACCCCTGCATGTGTCTCAGTTGGGTCTGCACAGCAGGAAGGAAGTTGCAGGGCTGGGCTGCAGCTGGGGTGGCTGCCTTCCATCAGGCAGCCTTGAACAAAGCAACATTGCACCCTGCTCTTCTCTGTGCCTGCTTGGGCCTGTGCTGTGGACCCAGTGGCAGGGAGCATTGGCTCCTGGCAAGAGCCCTGACAAGTCTGCAGTATCCTTCATATTACCTGGGATAGGAAGAAAGTGACCCGGGAAAGAACAAGTGTATTTGTTTGTGGCTGGATCAGATAAAGAGCTAGCAAGAGTTTTGATTAGGGTTTTGTTGTTGGGGTTGTTTGGTTTTTTGTAGTTGGTTGTTGTTTCCTTTTTTAGGAGGCAGAGAGAGGAAAAAAAAAATCCACATTTGTTCTAGGAATGTGAAGCCCCTGGTTTTTCTGGTAGGCTGCTGGAGATACGAAATTGCAACTTTTTCAGTCCTTACTTGGGGAGGCAGGAACACTGAATCACTTATGAGGCATTCTTCATCCTTGCTGTCGGAGTGTCTGTGAAAACTGCAATCACAAGTGAATGCAAGTAGTGTTGTGAGCACAGCAAAGTCACTTTTCCTGTGCTTTGATTCTATTTTGCCTTCTCAGACGGAGGATATCCATTCCAGATCACTGGTAGAATTCTCCTGGTTGATCAAGCTCAATAAAACCAGAATTTCAAATGCAATAAAAAAGGAAGAAGGCAAGTAACATTGTAGCTTTTTTGGAAAATTTCCACCCATTTTTGGCAGTGAGGCAATACTGTGAACATACACACAAGGGTGTGTGTGTGTGTGTGTGTTGGGCAAAACTTTGCTACACAGCAAAAGGCTATTCTTTCTTTCACACAGTCCTGTTGTGAGCTGGAAGCTCTTGTCTTTCTAGATCTTGTGACAGAGACAAGAGTGCTGCTATTGGCAGCAGAGACCTGCAGTAAAAGCCAGGTTTGGCTTGTATTTGAGGTGGGAGAGGAAGATGATCTTCCATGTCCGTCAGTCAGGAGACAATAGACAGTGTGGTATTTGAATTTTTAAGGTAATTAGACAAGGAATCCAAAACTGTGTTTAGTGTGCTCATAGTGGTGGAATGAGAACTTCCCTGTTACCCTACTTGGCACTTGTGTGTCCTAACCACATCACATCCCATCACATCCCATATCACATCCCAGTGGCACAGCAGCAGTTGTCACATCTGGACAATATTCCACAGTGACTTGAGTGCCTCACCACAAAAACTAGTGATACAGGGGAGGCTGCAGGTTTTCACTCTGTCTAAAAACTGGTCACAGCTCAGCAAATAATCTGAGCAGGTCTGCCATGGCTCAGGTAAAGCACTTTCCTAACTTTTTCCTACATCTGTAATAAACAGGGAAATCCCCTGCAGTGTCATTCTTCATCCCTGAGGTCAGAGCTCCCCTGGGGCTTTCCCCTGGTCTGTGCTCTCATCTCCTTTCCCACTAACTCCCAATGTGGGTAATCACCTTGCAGCTCTCTAAATTCCCCCTGCTGAAGCGGTTCTGTGGGTGATGTTCTTTTTCCTTTTCTGTCACTACAGCAGCCACCTTGCAACACTGCTGTTCAGGAGGGCAATTCTTGAATGCCCAAAGTGCTACAAAGGTCATGCACAAGAAAACATTCATGGAAGATATATTGGCCTACTATTCATGTCAGTTAGTTCCTTGAAAGCGTTTCTAGTCTGCTAATGAGTAAGGTGGACTGTGATATCCACTGATGAGCACATTCATTCTCTAAGGAGGATGCTGCCTGTTCGAAGGAGGCAGGTTCAAAGGTTCTGTTCACTACTTGCTTTAACAGTATAGTTTAGCTTAGTGCTCCAGAGGAAACTAAGCTTTATTCCTTGCCAGGAAATTTAAACAACCAAGAGCCACCTGCTCTTTCTCCTGTTCATACTACATTTTTTCTAGTTTGTTGCTATCAAGTGCTTGCAGGATGTGTAGCTGTTGCTACCTTTTTTTTACAATTACATCTTGGGGCTGTCTTTCTATTTGGTGGGTGAGATGGGTGGATGGATGCTTGATGGTCTGCAACTTGGTATCTAAGTTAGTAGTTAACGTTTTGTACATGCTTTGAGAGCAAAAGCAAAGGAGCTGTGGGCTTTGTTTAACCAATATCGCAGAAGCTTTGTGGAAGGGTTTGTTTTTGCCATCTCAGAATGGGTGCATAACCCTGTTTCCTGATTTATCAGTTGTTGAGGAATTACATAGTTTTGCACTTTTGCACTGTCATTTAGGAGAGGAGGGGAGAAGAACAGGTAATGGTGGGCTCCATGAGGTTTGTGTCTTGGAAAAATTTGAAAGTATGGTAGTAATGGTGTGCTCTCTTTCTCTCTCTCCCTCTCTCTCCCTCCCCCCTCTGTTCCCTGTTCCCATTTTCCTCCCTCCTCCACTGATTCCTTCTGCAGCCTCTGAAAACCATCTCCAGAGCTCTCACCCCCTCTGCAAAGGACGAGCCCCTCTGGCTCCCACTCAGACCCCCGAACTCTAGGGAACAACAGGCTGCTTTCATCCCGGAGCCCCTCCAAGGGAGCAGATGCTCACACAGGTTTTTGACCAGAGACACTCTAGCATGCAGAGACGTCTGCCAGCAGATATCTACACTCAGGAGCACATGAAGCACATGCTTAGGACTGCAGTGTGACACTCCAGCACCTCCCACCCCATGGCTGTTCACCAGAGCTGCCTTCCCCAGCGTGCTTCCACGGTCTGTTTTCTAGTCCTGCCTCTCTGAGGTTGTCAGCAGCTCTGTCACCAAAGTGCACCAAAATCCTGCAAGCAATACCAGCCTGCTTGCAGAATCTGTGTTCCTTTTGATTCAATGATTCCCATTAAAGTCAGAGATGAAACTACTGGTGTTTGAGGATTTGAAGAGGGAGAAAACAGCTGGAGGGAGGGAGGGAGGATTTGAAGAGGGAGATCACTTGAGGTGATCTCCAGGCACAGAGTGGATAGGGCAAGGGGAAATGGGCCTGACAGCTTTGGTAAAAGGCTTGCAATGGAGAGTTTGATGATGTGCATCTTGCTGAGCATCCACTCTAGTGAGACCAGAAATGACTTTTCCAGGAGTTAGGATTTCGATTTATGACAAGCACAACTTCTCAAAGAAGCTGGTGAAAAGAGACTTCTGGTTGGTTGTTTGCATTGATTCTTGAAATAAGAAAGAGGAGGAATTGAGATTGGGAACAGGTGTAGGAAAGAACTCTTTTTTTATGTGCTCGAGGTGGGTGTGACCTCAGAGTGCACAACATCAAATGAAGAAAGTAATGGATACAAAACATCTGTGAAGAGTGCAGCCATTGGTAGGAAGGACAATGCCTTAATGAAAATAGTGTAGAGATAGAAGGCCTCTTCCAAGCTCGGCTGCAACAGTATTTGTCTCCTGAGCTTCCCCAGCCATTTTCTCAGTCAGATAATTAGAGGTACCTGTGGAAGAATCCTCTGTCTCACAGAGCCTGGTGCAATCAAGTTGAGCAGTGGAGAGCCTCTCCAGGGCAGGTATTCAGGGAAAGAGCAAGGAATGTTGGTCCTTCCCTCAGCACAGGGAAGGGTGTCCTTCAGTGCCTCATGGCACAGCCATGCTGGGGCACAGCCATTCTGCCTGTGGGGCTGGCTTTGTGCAAGCCCTGGGCTGGTGGAGGCAGGCCCACCTGCCCTGCCCTGCCCTGCTCACACAGGGGCTGTGGCCCAGCCTCTGGTTTGGCCTGTCTCACAAGTCTCAGCTGGGAAAAACCTGTGCCCTTGGGATCTGGCACTCTTGCCAAGGGCCTCTGGAATGGTGGGTATGTGGGATCTGTACTCAGCTCCTTGCACTGCTCGCCTTTGCTGCCACACCAGGGCAGGAGAATGGGGCTGCCCCAGGCCTGGGAATCATCCTGCTCATGGTTGTTACCATGCTCTGTCAATGCATTGGTGCTTCAGCCTGACCCCACTGCCTTTCACAGCTCAGAAATGTCTGCAGCAGATTGACATGGGAGCTGCTGGGGTCTCTTCTGCAAAGGAGCTGAAATGTGCAGTGGAACTGGGTCCATCTGTCGAGGTGCTTTATGCACCTGGCTGAAGCAGTGGACCAGGCTGGGCTGAATTACACACTGCCCTTCACAGGTGTCTGCTGAGCTTATATTCCAGTCTTCAACAAGAAGATCCCAGGAAACTCTTCAATCATGGGGCCAACTAACCTGGATCTCTCTCAGGTTGTCAGAGTCCAGCTCTATCCCCCTCCCAAGTGCGTGTTGGAAATGGTGTTTGTTAGCTGTCCTTCCAAACAGCCATGAGGCAGGGCCCAAAATCTTGGATGTGAACTGAAAGCAGGAGCTAATCCTGCTGTGACACTGTCTAGTGGAGCAGGAGTGACAGCTCGTGGCAAATGACTTAAGACAATTCTTCAATGCTTTTAGCATGTCCCTCATCCCTGATCATGGAATTCCTGGTGCACTTTTCTATCTCTCAGTGAAGACAGTACAGGGAACCAGAGAAAATGGTCAACAGAAGATGTGATTTGTGGTCAGAAATTATGAAAGACTTGTCACCTCTTTAATTTGCATACGTATCGTGGTGTGGAAAAGGTGTGGGTGTGTTGTTTCATGCATCCCACTGTAATCTTTCACCAATTATTTCCAGACTTCAACTACTTTTTCAGGTCTGAATGGCTGTGCTGAGCTCCTGGGATTCATTTGTGGTAGGTGACCCTATGGCTACAGTGCTCCATTCTCCTACTACCTTCTATTCTGGGCAGATGGTGAAAGCAGTGCAAAATGGGATGTGAGAGCTCTGTGCTGCTCCTGGTGCCTGCTTCACTTCATGTGAGCTTCAGAGAGATTTATGTGCTGTGAAATCAATAGGGTCTCCCTCTGAAAGCAGTTTGTGGATGGGACTAGTGAGTTTCCTTTGGAACTCTGGCTAAGAATGACTCCTTCATGTGCCAGACTTGGAACACACTTTCCTCTTGTTGAGGAAAAATAACAGCTCTCACCTTTAATATGAAGATTACAGAACAGTTTGTATATAAATCACTAATGAATTATACTAATACTCCCACTATAAAAAGAATTATATTATCCACTCCTTCTTTCATACAGATTCAAGCCTTGAGATTAAATGACTTTCCTGTCTCACTTTGAGAGCTGGATACAGAACCTGTGAGACAAAAGCATCAATCCAGTCTTTTAACTGGAAGATTTTGCTGTAACAAGTTAACCTTGTATTTGTCAATCTGCCATGCACTTCTTTTCCTTGACATCTTGTCTCCAATGCAGGGAGTAAAAAACCCATCCAGTTTTATGGTGAAAGTATCATCTGGGAGAAGAGAGCAGCAATAGATTTAGGACTCTTTTCTGGTTCTGTGTGTCCTGAAGGCAGAGCTAGGCACAAGCAGCAGGCAGGTCATAGGAGGTGTCTGTTTTGCTGGGGAGGGTGAGGCTCCAGGGCAGACATGACATTGTCCTGCTGTGGGAAGAGCACAGAGAGGTCAGGCTGGGCATTGGCAGGTGCAGGTTCCTACCCTAACACAGAAGCAAGAAAAGTGCTGGACTCTGAACTGCTTTGCCAAGGATAGGGAATGGGGTGCTGTGCTCTGGCTGGGATGAACTGGCAGGAAGGATGTGAATGGACTTGTGTCCTTCTCCTTTCCCTTGACCTGGGCAGCACCACTGCTGCTCTGAGTGCTCCCAGCGTAGTGACAGGAGCACAGTTGTGAGCCTGTGCAACTCTACAGATTTCTACCTGTACCAAAGCCAAGTCCAGTGCTTCCAGGGGTGCAGGTTAGCACCTCTTTCAGGTAATGTCCCTTGCTGTCCCATTCATAAGGGGTAAAAACATCCATCCCAACTCTGGAGTGCAAAACATGCTAGTAAGGAATAGTCCTTATACTCAAGGGAGTACCTGGTATTTGTATAGGATTGCCTTTTTTCTTCCCCCGTCTGAGCCTACTGGACATAGATAGATAGATAAATAGATAGATAGTAGAACTTCAGCCTCCTTACTGTCCATCAAAACAGAATTTGAACCTACTTTGAAGTATCCATAGCTTGCCGCAGCCTTGAGCCAGCATTTCAGCAACAATGTGGATGGACAATTGAATGTGTATAAAATAAACCCAGCTGTTTTGTCCTGCCTGCAAGAACTTTGGATCTGCGAAACTCCTGTCAAGAATGTTGCATTATGGAGAAGACAATTAACTCTCTCAGAATGAGAAGGACTTGGCTGCTTTTACTCTGGGAAAGGCAACTATGGCTGAAGGCAAATACTCTACCATGTCTGACCTAGAAAATGCCAAAATGGTTGTCTATAGCCTTAGAGCTTTATAAACCTTGCTGTATAAGACATAGAAATATACTATTGTTCTTCTGTTGTCTCACACTGAAAAATGTTTACCTGTCATATTTTACATGGGGGCCCATTTTAGACAGGGGAAGATGGAGAGGGCAAACAAGGACAAAAGAATAAATTCTAGTTAGTACAAGCTTTTGCCATGGTTTGTAACTTAAGTATCAGCAAGGTGATGTGAGTTGCAGCCCTATTTCTTCTATGGCACAACACTTTTATCTTGGGGGAAGAATTTTAAAAAACTCCCAGACAACTACCTTTGTAGCTTTTCTCTTTCACAAGTACAAAATGGGTTACATAGGGACACAGAGGTGATGCAAAACCCTCTTCAAGTGTTTCCCTAAACAGGAAGAAAAAATGCAAAACAAACCACAGGCTGTGTCCATAGGCTCAGTGCATCTCTGTATGACATTCCTGAGGCTTACCTGCCATTGAGAGGCAGTGGTGCTACACAGAACTTGCCAACAATGGATGGCTCATCCTTGCTCCAAAAATGATTCCTGGGGATATACTTGAGGGTCACAGTGTTTATCTGGCAGAGGGGAACTCGGTGTGCCAGCAGCCGTTTGCCTGTCTCCTGGTCCTTGGGTCTGCAAGGCAGGATGAGAGATGTGAGGGATGTGTTCAGCCAGCCTGCAAATACAGTGCACATCCATCGAAACGTTGGAGGAATCTGCAGTGTTGTTGTGAAGCCCTCACATAACAAAATGGAGTGAGAAGACTCGTCTGTCAAAATAAGACACTGCATGAATGTTTTACAGGCTGTCTCTCCATGTTTTATCTCTGTATTCAGGAATATTGCTGTATTAATTGCCTTCCTTCCATCACCAACTCTTCTTACTGTTGCATATTGATTGAGACACTGCTCAGCTTGCCACAGAGAGGTAAGCAGTAGACAAGTCAACATCTATGGAATGGTGAATGGCATGGATAGGGATCAGTGGGGATCAGTACACAAACTGGGGTCCTCAAAGAAAGCTAAGAGGTGTCAGGCTCAAAAAGAATGCCCACTGCAAGGAGTACCACTCCTTTCCAGCTGTTATAATCCTTGCTTTGGGATGTTGTGAATGCCAGGAAGTTCATATGGCTGTACAAGTCAAGGGAGGGAGACTGGACAGGTTTGTGGAATACAGAAGCTAGTAAGGATAATGATCTCATCTTTGGCTC